TAAGTTCCATTTCCTGAAAGTACATTTTGACCAGCCAAGTAATTTAATCAAAATAGCTTATACTATATATTTGTAACTTAAATGACAAAGAATCCAAAGTTTAAGACTGAGGCCTCATGGCAGTTTTGCTTTATTTTATTACTTCTTTTTCCATTATAAATACTATAGAGTGGTTTTTTGTTTTGTTTTGTTTTGGAGAGTGGATGAGATAGGAGAAAGGTCTATGTTTTGGGCAAAAACATTTAGAAACTTCTCTAAAATCCTAAACATTCTTATTGCTTGGACTGAATAACCCCTCCACGTGGGAAGACACAATATTTATTGTGTACAGAACTCCTCACTTAACATTGTACCAGTTAATGTTGTTACGTTGTTTATGTATTACAGCACATGCGTATTCAAAGTTGTGCAGGGCAGTCTTATAACATTGTTTGTCTACCTGTTTTATCCATTACTTTCAGGATTTGCTGGAAAAGCGGCCTGTCCTTATGGGGGCTTGGAACCGGGATGGTCTGGAAGTCCTCCATCAGCTCCCCTAAGTTCCCTCTGAAGTACTATAGGTGGCTGGGCAGCTGACAGCAGTAGGTCTGCTGCCCCTCTCCCCACTGCAGTGCTACGCCTGCCATCTGCCTTGGAGCTATTCCCAGGAGTCCCCTGCTTGCTATGCGTGGGAGTCAGGGAGAAGGAGGGAGAGAGGAGTGTTGATGTCAGGATTTCCCTGCATTCCCTGATTGAGCCCCTGACTCTATTCCATGTCTGTTGTGTTTCCTTGCTCCTGCCTCAGCCCATGCTTCCTTGTAGAGTATGGGGGAAAATATTAATACCACCACATTAACCTTAAAGGTCTCAGCCGAATGTTAGTAGCAAGATATTCTCTGGGAAATATTCCATCCTCTGATTGCACAATTTCAACCAAGCTTCACAAACATCATTACTATGTACAGTATTAAATTGTTTGTTTAAAATTGTTTAAAACGTATCCAAACCTCTCTCTAGTCTGGCACCCTCAGGACCAGACCAGTACCAAACCAGAGAATTTGCTGAATCATGGAAACTCAATATTGTCTAGCAGCATTACCAACATTTCCACTGCTTGCTGGGCTCTTAGAAGACATGTAGAGATAATATAAATCTAAATTACAGCACAGAACACTGAGAGCCAGGATTGGTGGCTGCAAACAAACTTTATGGGACTATAGGAAACTTTGCCACAGCCATGATAAGTTTACAGTACTATATTGTTTACAATTTTTAAAGCTTATACTGCATTTGGTTATACTGCTTTTTGTCTGTTGAAAAAAATTTCCCTGGAACCTAACCTTCTCCCTCATTACATTAATTTTTATGGGGAAATTGGATTCACTTAACATTGTTTCGACTAAAATAGCGTTTTTCAGGAACATAACAACAATGTTAAGCAAATAGTTACTATATGGTTTGGAAGGAGAATCCAGTTCACAGACACTCAGAAAGGAGGAATGGCATTAAAATTGTATAATACTGACAAATACATATTCTCCTCATCTTTATTTCGCATCTGAATGAGGTACTTAACAAGTATGAAGCAAATAAAGGGAAAATATTAATTATATATAACATTCCACAAACAAGCTGCATTGCTCATGTGTCAGGAAAGAAGGTATTATATATTCTGACACAGTAAAAGGCAAATGTCTTGGAAAAATTGTTTCATGGTTAAACCACAAGACTGGAAGAGAGGAGGTGTGGATTTTGTTCCCATTTCTGCCACAGAATTTTAGTGTTAATTTGGGCAAATCACTAATTCTCTGTGCCTGTTTCTCCCCTGTCAAAATTAAGACACTGCTTACCTCCAAAGGGTTATAAGTCTTAATTTATATTTGTGATCTTCAGATGGAAGGCATGATAAAAGTCTGAAATATTAGCATCTCTCAACTGTTCTGAATTAAGAGATGTGTCATTGATTTTGGTTAAAATGTACTGTTATGTCAGACAAACCACTTCTATTATTATCAACTATTTATGTCATAAAATGTCAAATAATGGTAGAGAAGTTATAAAATTAATGATTAAACACAATAAGCACCACAGAATAACAACCTTTCCTATACTACAGCTGTTCCTGGGACTCGGATCATTTTGGATCTTTGTTATCCAACACACGGGCCATGGAAGGTTGTGCACTATTTGACAAAGCAACCATTAGCATGCATAGAGTGAAACATGTGCTTAAGTACAACGGAAAGCTCATAAAACCAATACCAAAGGATCCTCCTCTTTGTTTGAGTGTCTTGAAAATATCACGGCGGAAATAAATCTGGGAGGAAACATATGAACTGTTCATTTTGGGGATGTAGAGCATTGGATCCTGAATTAGGTGCATTTCCTGGGTTCAACTAAGCAACAGATAGATACAGGGTGTCCCTGCTATACAACCAAGATATGTTAAAAAAAAGTGGATGTATAGTAAAAGGACGCAAAGTGGGATTTTTTCCCCCATGGCTAATTTCTTTTTATGCAAATTAGTTCCTTTTTTTTGCATGCCACAAGAGTGGGGAATTGGAGGACTTAAAATTGAATTAGTCCCACAAGCATCAGTGATGCTAGTGCAGAACCAATGTATACAGGGGTGACTTACAGCAGGGATGTCCTGTACCAGGCTACAGGAAATAATTTCCTTAAAATTAAATCACTTGAGAAAAAATGTCTTTGTTAATGATTGGGGGAGGAAGTATCATAGAATCACAGAATACTCGAACTGGAAGGGACCTTGAGAGGTCATCAGGTCCAGTCCCCTACACTCACAGCAGGACCAAGCGCCATCTAGGTCATCCCTGTCTGATGTCTATCCAACCTGCTCTTAAAAATCTCCAATGATGAAGATTGCACCACCTCCCTAGGCAATTTATTCCAGTGCTTAAAAATCCTGATGGTTAGGAAGTTTGTCCCAATTTCCAGCCTAACCCCCCCTTGATGCAATTTAAGCCCATTGCTTCTTGTTCTATCATGTACTGGACATCACTTAGATTTGCAAATGATACCACATTGGCAAATGTTCTGAACATCCATCAGGAAAGAAAAATAATACAATAGCGAGTTAGAGAGAAAATAATGAATCAGATTCAATTCATTAAAGTGCAGGCTAATGCACACATGCAAGTCCCCACTCTTCTGCATTAAATCATTAGACTGTGAGCTCTTTGGGGCAGGGATCATCTTTTCATTTTGGCTACGTCTAGACTGGCATGATTTTCCAGAAATGCTTTTAACGGAAAAGTTTTCCATTAAAAGCATTTTCAGAACAGAGCGTCTAGATTGGCACGGACACTTTTCCGCAAAAGCACTTTTTGCGGAAAAGCGTCCGTGCCAATCTAGACGCGCTTTTCCGTAAAAAAGCCCCGATCACCATTTTTGCAATTGGGGCTTTTTTGCGGAAAACAAATCTGAGCTGTCTACACTGGCCCTTTTCTGCAAAAGTTTTGCGCAAAAGGACTTTTGCCCGAACGGGAGCAGCATAGTATTTCCGCAAGAACACTGACAATCTTACATGAGCTCATCAGTGCTTTTGCGGAAATTCAAGCGGCCAGTGTAGACAGCTGGCAAGTTTTTCCGGAAAAGCAGCTGATTTTCTGGAAAAACTGGCCAGTCTTGACACAGCCTTTGTGTTTATACAATGTCTTGCCCTGCAGGCTCCCCAGTCACAGACCAGAACTCTGGGTAAGACAGCAATTCTAAGAAAATTATACCTAAAATAACAAGTAATAAAATATTGACAAACACAAGGCATTCAGATAAGAATAATAATACTGATTCAGGAGCAGCTGGAACTGACTTTCCGAGGAAACAGTATATGTATATATAATTATAACATTGCCAAAGTAATAGTGAAGTTGGGACATGAAACTTCTCCACCAATATTTGAAAAGTTTTAGCCCCAAATAAAAAAAAAGACTAATTTAGACAGGTGCACAGAGGTATAACTAAGAATAACAATGACATTATGGAAATGGAAGCTAAATGGGAAAAAAATCTGATCATTCTATAGGTATTTATCAGGCTCCTTGGCTGTGGTATGGTCTCCTTAAGCTTAAAGATGGAAGTCCCACCTCTCGGAACATCTAGGAGTATATTAGACTAAATGCTAGTGAGAGTTGTGGCAAGAGTTATGCATTGTATGCCCATGGTCATAGATTCAAATCCCATTTAGTCTACTACAGACATAGGGAATAGTCTCTGTTTTAAATAGAAAGGATGCCCCATGGTTGGGGGGCTAGCCTGGGTCTGGGGTCAATTCCCTGCTGCATGACAAACTTGGTGTGTCACCTTAGACAGCTCATTTAATTTCTCTCTGCCTCAGGTCCCCAACTGTCAAAGGGGTTTGTCCATACTTCACAGGGGTGTTGGGAAGATCAAACTCTTAATGCTTGTGAAGCCCTGAGACTGTATAGTAATAAAGGCCATGAAGATAGGAAAGATACCAAAGGGGAACAAATCCTTCAGTATTGGGAAGATAGACTGACTTGACCTTACAGATTTGTTCTATATTTAGCCACTATGATCCCGTGTAATACAAAAATTGAGACAAGTGTTAGCAGTCTCTTTGGAACAAACTATCTTTAATTGGGAGGAGTTTGCCGTGTTTTTGGCTACTGGCAAATTATAGCCCTCCACAACCCCTCTGCAAATATTTTCTCACACACTGCACTGAGGAGGAGCAGGCGGTTCTCAAGCCGATTTTCTGGATTTGTTTTGGGGGGTTGGGTTTTTGGTGTTTTGTTTTTAAAGGCAGAGGGAGTTGGAAGCTTGTGAGACAGGGCGAGTCAAAATAACAAGTAGGCAGCCAAGCTGTGGAAAAAGGCAGGGGAAACTTAAGTTAATCCTTCTTCTTCAGCAACAGTCACTATGAGAAGCCAAACCCTGCACAATGAGGCTCTTTTCAGTGCACAGAGACCCTCTGAACAGTTCACAATGCTCACTCCCCCTCACATACATTTTACATCTACTTGTTAATAGAGCCGTACCTGTTTGTCAGCCATGAAAAGGCAGAGAACCAGCCAACCGCCTGCTGAGATGGACATGTCCGTGTGTCTGTCTCTGTTCCTTTTGCTGCCACTGACCAGAAATTAGATCCTCCACACCAACCCCCCTAGCCCTAGCCACAGCAGAGTAAGGCACATTTGGATTTGCTACTTCTCTTTCTTCCTTTCCTTCCTCTCAGTTACACGAGGGGAGAAAACAAACATACCAAAAAAAAAAAAAAAAAAAACTGGCCTGAGTTCCCACAGCATTTCCTCAGGACTTAACATGCAGGGTTTTTTTTCTTCTCGTCCCTCCCTTTCCTCTCCCCGCCCCTCTGTTAGAAGAAGTTTAGTCATGAAGCCTATGATCCCTCCTCCTGCTGTTAGTGCTGCTTTCCCTGTCTCCCTCTCCAAATCCACCCTACTGCCTCCTGTCCGAGCCCGTCTTCCCTCTTGCCCTATTTTTAATTTCTTTCCAACCATTACTTCTTGGAACCTCCTGCTTGCTTGCTTCCTCCCTTTCACAGCATCCTGCTCTAGCCTCAAATTTCCTGATGTTCCTTTCCTTTCAATCTCAAGCAAGCTGCTGTCTGTCCCCTTCCTTCTGCTAACTCTGGCATCCTCCTATTACCCTGTTTTTTCCCACTGCCTCTTGCCACCCCTTTCCTCCTGCTCCATCCAGCAATTTCCTGATGACCCTTTCCTTCCACTACTTCCTGAAACCACTTTCTGCACCCCTCACACTGCCTCCTGCAACTGCCCTGGCTGGACCCAGCAAATTCCTGCCCTTTGCCTCTGGCTTTGTGAAACGACACCAGACAGGCATCAAATCTACCACATTGCAATTCCCCTCCCCTCTTCTCTTTAGCAACAACAAAACTCCTAAAACCAGTGAGGCACTTCAGCTGTGCTGCCTTTCTGTGTGTATTTGCTGCACCAGTGCAGGTGGAGGTGGGGAACATCATGTTTCTAAACTCATCTAATAAGGAAGTTTGCTCTCTCTAGATTTGACCCATGACGAGAAGGAACATGGCTTAATAGATTATTCCACACCCACAAAAGACGACACACACACACACACACACACACACACACACACACAACCACAAAGGGAAACAGTGCTCTTTGCTTGTGCCACTATTCTTTGTTTTCTGCACAGATGAATTACCCTTTCAAACAGCCTGGGGCAGGAGGTGAAATCAGGCCATAAGGGTTTTTCCTCACAGCTTTCTAATCCAGAGAAAGGCTTCGTGGGCTGCACAGCTTTCCTCTGAAATCACACACACTCAGCACCCCAAGGCATAGGGCAATAATAGGTCAAGTGGAGACATAAATACATTGGTATTCTATGGAGGTAAAACCTGGGTGACTCTTTAACTAGGCTGTGTGAAAAGGTGCCGTGCACACCTAAATTCTCTTTTTGAATCCGATATGTCAGTGAAAATGAGGGGAGGGGTGCAATGTACACGCACACGCACACAGAGAAAGATGGTGTATCCAGAATAGTAGGCTCAAGAGAGGGTTGGGGTGGAGACAGTGAGATCTCCCACAGGTACATTAGCTAGCATGTTAACAAAGCTGAGGTTTGAGCTATGGTCGTTCCCCTCCCTGCTAATTCCAGGAATCATAAGTTTACTTTCACATTTCCGTGCTTGTGAAAAGGGCTGGCTCAACAAGCCTGAAAGCCAAAGTCTGCTCTGTCTGCATTACGTACACAAGAGAGACAAGGTGGGTGCCTGACTGCAACTAAACACTGTCCCCAGCAGGCAAACCTGCTCTCTAAGGGTTTGTCTAGACTACATGGCTCTGTTGACGGAGCCATGTAGATGAGTTTATTAGACATAGGAAAATGAAGTGGTGATTGAAATAATCGCCACTTCATTTACATCAAAATGGCCACTGTGCTGTGCCGATCAGCTGTTTGGCGGCACAGCGGGGCAGTCTGGATGTTCCACGGTCAGCAAGGGAAGCCTTTGTCAGCCTCTCTGGTAAACCTCATTTCACGAGGCATAACGGAGCGGTTGACAAAGGCTTCCCTTGTCGACCGCAGAGCGTCCAGACTGTCCTGCTGTGCCGCCAAACAGCTGATCGGCACAGCGTGGCAACCAGTTTGATGTAAATGAAGTGGCGATTATTTCAATCACCACTTCATTTTCCTATGTCTAGTAAACTCATCTACATGGCTCCAACAACGGAACCATGTAGTCTAGACATACCCCAAGAGAGACAAGGTGGGTGAAGCAACATGTTTTATTGGACTGTCTGTTGGTGAGAGACACAAACTTTTTAACTTCACAGAGCAATTACTTCACCCACCTTCCCTCTCCAATGCATACAGAAGTGTAGCGAAGGCAGCAGTTGAGTGTGATTCTCACCTTTATGGCCCCATCCTGTGCTGGCGAAGCTACTAGGGTGAGGGAGCAGATCACTTCCCCAGCCTATTCAATACTTGGGCTAAAATGAAACTCCCAGGTGAGGTGCTAGAGCTGGTCCCTAAGTACCTTGGAATCATTATACTAGGTCAGACCATTGCTCCATCTCGTCGCATCACCAGCGCCACATGCCTCAAAGGAAGGTGCAAGAAACCCTGTCACTGACAATCCTACCCACTAATGTAGAACACTTCTTTCTAAACCTAACGTTTAGAGCTTGAGTTATGCCCTAAATAAACCTCAGCTTTGTTAAAATGCTAGCTAATGTACCTGTGGGAGATCTCACTGTCTCCACCCCAACCCTCTCTTGAGCCTACTATTCTGGATACACCATCTTTCTCTGTGTGCGTGTGCGTGTACATTGCACCCCTCCCCTCATTTTCACTGACATATCGGATTCAAAAAGAGAATTTAGGTGTGCACGGCACCTTTTCACACAGCCTAGTTAAAGAGTCACCCAGGTTTTACCTCCATAGAATGTATGGATGACAACTGTCTTATAAAGCTGAATCTTGGCAGCCTTCCATAGGTCATGGACCATGAAAAGGCATCAGAGCCATTACCAAAGGATGCCCCTATTCACTGGACCCAGGGTGAGCTATCAACAGCCCTCAAGCGTGTGAAGGGGCACCACCACCAATGCTTCTAGAGCAGTGGTTCCCCACCTCTGGTCCGTGGACCCCTGGGGGTCCACGATGGTACTTTAGGGGGTTCGTGGAAATTTTAGGAAAGGAAAAGAAAAGTAAGGATTGGGCCACCATGTGACTAGGACTTTCTACCAGGCAATTCTTGCCTGGGGCTCACATTCACGACCGGCTGCACACATGCTGCCTCTTGCCCTGGGGATAGGATCTTGATAGGCACCATCTGTCCTCCCTCCACCAGCTGCACTTCTGTTTACGCTCCATCCCTCTTCCCAGTCCCACTGTGGGCCTGATCCTTTCCTTTCTCCCCCCTCCTTCCCCACAGGGCTCTATGCGTGGCGAAGGACACAGTGCCAGGGCAGGAGCTTCCTTTTGCCATGAGAGCCCCCTCGCCATATCTTCCGTGGATAAGCAGGGGATGGAATGGGCAGAAGCTGAGGAAGCCGCGCAAGCCAAGGGACGTGCTGGCTGCCACTTCCTGCTGCTTCCCTTGGGGGAGTCTGTAACATTTTAACAGATTGAAAAGGGGTCTGTATGCTTGAAAAGGTTGGGAAGTACTGCTCTAGAAGATCCTGTGAATCAAATGGGAAGATGGCTGCCCTAATCCCAGCATCCTCACTGAGCCAATGTCACTAGCATTGAACCACTTATTCTTTTTGCCACCAACTCCACTGAGCTGGACATTGTGGGCCCATGCTAGATTCTCACCTCCCAAAACAAGCCCTCTAGGCTCAACTCATCCATGGTCAGAGATCTTGTGGTGGTCAGAGGACATGTTATAAAGACACACTGGGAACACATCTCAAGAAAACAGATGTGGACAACACAAATGAGGAGGAGCAAGCCACCATCTGACCTCAATGGTGCTACATTCTCCATCAGGGAGTGGCCCGCTTCAAGGAGCAGTGTTTGCCTTTGGAAAAAGAGGAAGGATGAAGGAAAAAGAACGAATTTTCTTTCAGCAGGCTGCTGACCTACCAAGAAATGTACTGCAGGCGGGATTGAACTCCTGAATTATCTCAGGAACTCTATATAAATCCATGGTAGAGATTATCCTCAGATTGAGAGAAGATTGCAGATAAATTCAAGAGCATGTTGGGACAGGGATACAGTCTCCATCTGTGTTGTCAGTTACGCTTTTATGCATATACTTGGCAATATACAGTATTAGAAGCTGGTGAAGTAGGTGGCTGATCCCTAAGAAAGATGTATTTGCATGGAAAGAGTTCTGGAATACTAGTAATAGACCAGAACTGCAGCAACAGGTGAAAATTCTTCTGAAGAAGCTAAGCACACCCCGCATGCTGGAAATCCTTGGTCTTCTGCCCTGTATGGGTATTTTCAAATTCTTATAGTTAAGATGTACGGAAATGTTGCTCTTAAATAGAACAATTGGGTAAGATTCTTCCTCTTTTTACCCTCATACACAATATTGAGACTGTAAGCACTACTTGTTTACTAGCTGCTGATTCAGGCAACAGATTTACAGGCACAAGCACAGTTTCATTATTAGTACACAGTATAGGCTGAGTCTTGGAAGGTGCTGGGTGATCTCAATTACTGTAGAAGTCAAAGACTTTAGGATGTCCAGCATTGCAAAACAGTTTCTTTTGTAACTCCTCCATACAGGTGCTTGTTTCTTCCTGAAACATTCACCATCAGGGATAAAATTTCTATTCGATGCCTGGAACTTTTGCCTCTGTGTGAAAATCAACTATTTCTTGAAAGCTTGAGTAAAGGTATTTGTTTCTGATTTACATGAACCTGATCCAAGCCCCAGTGAATCACTTGGTATCTTCTTACTGCCAGTATTGTATACTGCAGCAGAGCCTTGGAAATCCAGTTATGAAGATCTGAAAAAAAAAAAGCATAATTGGATATTTTGGCAAAACTTAAATGATAATGTTAGCCATAGACGGTCTAGGTAGGGCCAGTCAAAAGTTTTGCACAAAACTTTGACAGAAGTTAGGGTTTTCAACTATACAATTTTAAAAGTCCACTTTCTGTGGAAAACATTGTCAAAAGAACCAAATACTCCACAACTTCAGTTCAGAAATGCTGCCATGATGCCTCATGCCTCTATTCTCTATTATAGTCTTGGTGCCTCAGCCAGCATACACCTCCAATGATCCATGGTTGCTATGGGACTCCCTTCATGCTCTACAATATAAGAAGAGAAATAAGAACAACCCAGGAAACTACAGACCAGTTAAACTTCTGTGCCAGGGAAGATAATGGAGCAAGTAATTAAGGAAATCATCAGTAAACACTTGGCATGTGGTAAGGTGATAGAGAACAGTCAGCATGGATTGGTAAAGAACAAATCATGTCAAACCAATCCG